TCTAGAATAATTGCAAACCAAAAAAAAAATCATAGGGAATGAGCGTTGTAAACTGATAAAACGCAATAAATGTATGAAAATGTAAAAGGTCACAGAGTTCCCTTTTCTGGAATAATTGCAAAACGATAGGAAATACTTTTAAAATTCGAATCTTAGGGCACCAAAAAGTACATTTACAAAGGGTTTCAGTTTACGCGCAGTCAAATAAATAAACTGGTTACATTGACATAAACCTAGATAAGATCTTTATCTCAGAATAATCTCAATTATACTCGCACTTTCTGAAGTAAGTTCGGTTTTATTTTTGTTACTTATGTCCGAAGTTAAGTTGAAAATCGCTGTTCATTGCCAGGTTTGTCTTGCGATTACTGTAAACCAAGTATTATACGCGTGCGATAAATATCCGCGAGTTCCACGAGTATCCTCTGCTCGCGGAGATTTATCGTCGCGAACCAGTTGTTCATTATATTCCTATATTATGATTTATTTAGAGTTATTTGCCTTTTTTTCAATTCCGATCCCGACGGTTCAATAATTAATCACGGAAGAATTCTACTGTTATTGTAGAAGAAGCAGTTGAAATTTAATTTCAAACATTCAGAAAAAATAAAAACGAATGGCAAATCTAAAAATGTTTAAAATGTCAATAATCATTTTAACTTGTGTTATTATTGTTCATTTATTGTTACAGACGAGTCGAGATCCGAGGTAGCCTGGTTAATTACGGCTAAATATGGCCCAGTCCTGCTCTGTCCCAACCATTTATAATAATTGACCCTTGGCTATGTAGGTATTGGAAAGCGTCGATTACACAATTAGTATGAGGCACTTTAACAATGTAAGAGTTTTAAATCAATTTTAATCTCCTAAATTTTTTCCCGATTTTCGCCTGAGCGTTGTGAAAATGTGTATATGGAGTATACTCATGGTAAACATTTTACCCACTTTAGGGGCGGATATAAGATTTTCAATTGACGCAATGCACAGATTGTCTTGAAAAATGCAAAAGCAGACCTCACGCTACCATTTTACCTAGTTAATGGGCGGATACAAAATTTTAATTAGATTAAAAAATACCAGTGGAAATAAAAAAAAATGGGACCACTCGGCGCGGTTTAGTTCTCTAGCGGTCAGTCGCGAATAAAAAATGACGCGTATAATAATTGGTTTACAGTATTCTACAGTGTGTAGAATATGTTGCTGCTAGAATGGTGTGTCTGCGATGTCTGTGCGACAAAGTACGAGGTTTGTACAATTTAAGTAAGAACTAAGGCGACAGCGTTACGAACTGGTTAAGATATTTCTACGATTATGAAGGATTAAACGCGCATACATACGATACTCGTACGAAGGACTACGATATGCCACGTTACATACACGATATTCCCACGACTAATTTTTACGATTATACATGTAATGGAATGCATATACATGTATAGAGTAAAGGGAGATTTGTCTGAAATCATTAAACATCATAGTTATGTTATTTGATCATGGTAAAAACTACAGTGTGGAACTTTTGATTATGTTCAATCTCTTCATGTGTTTATTGTACATGCTGTTTATAGTTTCTGTTACACTTGTTTTTTTCAGTTTCTTTCACTTTTCTAAGCTTCTTTCCTTTTATTTTAGGCAGTATTTTGATTTCGACAGTGTTAACATCAGACACCGTCTGCCTAAATCGTATCAATTTGTAGTTCAATCGCACAGTTTTCGTACAGCACTTGCCATCAATCGTCTATTTTCTTATCATATTCTTGGGAAATTCGTACTATGTTCTTATCAATTCGAAGAACACTCTCAGTATCTCGTAGGACACTCGCATTAACTCGAGAGACAGTCGCACAAACTCGAAGGACACTCGAAATAACTCGTAGGACTCTTGTAGTTTCGCGAGTACAACGAAGTTCCGCGAATGTCACACGAACTTCGAAGATTTACTTCGATTATGAGTACGAGTGTAATGCGGATGCTGTGCGATTGTTTACGAATAATTAAGATTCGTGCTGTGTCAGCGATTGTTTTGAACATGCTCAAAACAATCGCCAAGTATGGCGATTTGCCGCGATCCAACACGATCAAGGAAGATATCCTGCGAGTAATTCTGCGATAAATCCCGATTTGCTGCGAATTTTGAATTCGTATTCATGGTAGCTCTAAATCGTGACAGTGTGACACGGGCTGTAAGGTTTCGGAATTTTGATTTCGCCCCATTGGGTGAAATGGGGGTCGTAAAATGACGTGTTGTTTATGCAAAAATCCCCGTATTCCCTGAACTTCTGCTACATTTTACACAGCAGCCTAATCATCCTTTAAGAGATGGTTGGTGGTGTCATGTGGATGTGCATTAAGGTTTTGCAATTTTGATATTGCCCCACGGGGTCAAATGGGGGTCCAAAAAAGCCCCGTCTTCCCTGATTTGCTCCTACATTTTACACATTAGCCTAATCACCTTTTGGGAGATGGATGGTGGTGTTATGTAGATGTGCAATAAGATTGCAGAATGTTGATTTTGCCGGGGGGGGGGGGGGGTCAATGGGGGTAGAAAATTGACGTTTTTATGCAAAAAGCCCTGTCATCCCTGAATTGCTGCTACATTTTACACATTACCATAATTACTCTTTGGGAGATGGTTGATTGTGTCAACTTAGCCCAACTTATAAGAAGCAGACTTAATAAAAACACAAGATACAATATTAGAGTCAAATGGAAACTATTTCTACTACTTTGGAATCACATGATCGTTTATTATTCCAGATACAGGGAGTGACTAGGGAGATCAGAACCCCCACCTCCCTACTGGAATTTGCAAAGTTATTTAAATAGAACTTCATACTGAAGCAGACTGTATACTGAAGCAAATAATAAAAAAAAATGACTTTGGATATCCCCCCAAATACATTGGACCCCCTCTATCATTGTTTTTGTTTTGTTTACTTGTTTTTTTTTATTTCATTCTCAGGAAATTCTGGACTGGAATTGTTTTACTAAGATATGCTCCCCCTTCTAGTAAACAAAATTCTGGATCTGCGCCTGTATACGGAATGTCACGTTGAGAACGGGATGTAACTTCACAATTTGAAATTCGTCTACTTTGGCATGCAATAATTTTTTAGCCTAAACCTGACCATTTGCATTTCAATTTATTATAACGCAATCTATATTAAAACATGTACTAACCGACTGTCATAGGTCATGTCAACTTCATGAAATATAATCCATATAATCCAATTTAAACACAAACTGATTTTAACTGTTACACCATGCATCAGCATGTTCTATCTCATTCGGCAAACTTTAGCTAATTCCGTCGCCTTCATACATGTGTATTAGATGAAATGCGAATCGGCCGACGTGTGCCGAATAGTGATATCTAAAAATATGATATTGATTGATTCATTGTATGTTGTTTAACGTCCCTCTCGAGAATTTTTCACTCATATGGAGACACCAGCACTTGCCGGGGGAGGGAATTTTGTGGTGTTTGTGGGGAGTAGGGATGGCCAATTGGCCATTGACAAGTTCATTGGGTTGTATTTTCAATGGTTTTTTTTGGTTTGCTTGACTAATTACTAAAAAAAGCAGTTTGCAAATTTTGATAAATTCATCAAAAACCCTTAGTACTATTATAATATTTTATGTTGTTGAGAAAATAAATTTGAAAAAGTCAAATCATGTGCAAATATATTTATCAGAATCTAATTTACATCATTCATTAAATTCTTATATCAGACTGGTTATGATTTGAGTATACGAAATATATATAAGAGGCTCATAGATCACATGGTCACTTGGACGAATACATGTATTTTGACAGGAGCGGATCCAGATTTTTTTCCATGAGTAGGGGGGCACCCCAGTCTTAATAAAAAGTACAACTAAGCAAAAACAAGTATCTCGCTATATCTTCAAAAAGCTATTTCTTTTTTTTGGGGGGGGGGGGAACTTTTCATACCAATTACATATTTGTGTTTCCAAGGGGGGTTGCGTTTTCCGAGGGGGGGTCCAAGGTAACTGTTTTCTTCCTTTAATATACAAATTTAATAACCTTGCAAATTCCAGGGTAGGGCCCTGACCTCCCCCTCTAGATCTGCGCATGTGTGATAATTACAGAATTATATTTTGACGTTTTCCATGGAAAGCGCAATATAAAGTAGTGTGTATTTAGAGGCAAACACCTTAGTTCGGGTATTACTATCTCATGACAACATATAGTTATGCATTAGAACTGACTCACTAGATTTTATGCCGATTAAAAAAAGGCGAATAAATAAGTGCTTTCTCGATAACTCTTAAAAAGCAATAAAACGTACTATGGTTAACAAAAAATTGAAATATTGGGTCATAAATATTAGACTTCCCCTAATAAAAGTACTAAAATAGTAGATTACAATTATCTATAGTTTACAATAGTAACAAAGTAAAAGCTTTCGGGCTTTGATTTGCAATAGTGAGAACTTGAAACTTTACTCTAGTAAAGGCTTTGGAACTTTGATTTACTATTGTGAAAACGAAACATTTTCATTTACTATAGTGAAATCCTTGGAACTTTGATGTACTATAGTAAATACTTTCGAACTTTGATTTACTATAGTGAAAACTTGGGAAGTTTGATTTACTGTAGTAAAAACTATGGAACTTAGATTTACTATTGTGAAAACTTTGGAAATTGATTTTTTAGCTTCTAAGTCAAAAGCCGTTCTCGTAATCTTCTTTTCCAACCACTTATTAACCCCTTCTTTGATGAAAATGAAAAAGTTCCATAAATTTATTTACTAGACATTACTTTCAATAACATACCTTGTCGACTCCTTACTATATATGGAGAATTTGATAAACTGGATTTGTGTCGCTAAAAGCCTAATTCTTCCGATTTGTTTGTTTGATGATGCTGACGACAATTTCGAACTCAATATATATAATAAGCACACAACTACTCAAAATCAACAAAAATCTACTTTGCAATTATATATGTTTCCCTTTTCTTTCAGAATTCTTAAAAAAAGGAAAGATAATACCAAACAGAAACACAAAGTACAAGGTTAGCACGTTTCAAAAATAGAAGTAAATTATATCTTTGTTTTTCATTCATTTCGTGCAGTGAAATATTTTCATTACAGATTTAAAAAATCACAGAACGAATCAGGAAGGAAACTGGAACAAATCCTATAATAACTGTAAAAACTACAAACAAGGTATCCATAAACATAAAAATATTGATATATCAGAGTTTATCATATATTGTCAGATTAAAATAGTCCGATTGAAGGTGAGAATATCTTTGCAAATATATAGATGTAAACTGAAAGTGACTGTCAGATTTGGCGTCTAAAACATGTACAGAGTGAGTCAAGGTTAAAAGTTCATGCATATATTATTATAATTTCCCCCATATATAAATACAAGAAAACTTGTTAATTACGAACACGGATATTGCGAATTTACGGGTATAGCAAAGTCATCTTTGATCCCCCAGATATATAAATTTTAAGACTTTCTTTTACGGGCATAAGGAAATACGGATATAGCAAAGTAATTTCAAGGGTCCCTCTAACTTCGTTATAACTGAATTTCGCATATATGGGTATAAGTAAGAATTCACATGTATTCTCTTATCTAATATTTTAATACGAAAAAGGCTGATAATATGCATCTTAGATTTATAGTTTTTTGTCTCGAAACATTCAGAAAAATAATATTTCTTTCTAGAAAACTGAAAAACCATGGATATGGGAAGTCCGACTTTGTTTTGATATTACCTTCAAGATAAAGGATTGCGAAACAAAAAATAATGATGAAGAAAATACTAAAATTGTTTATCCACATGACGAATCTTGGCAGACACATCCAAAAAAAATTTGCAAGAACAAGACATCTTTGTGAATATACATCAATTTTAACTCGTTTGAGAAGTGAAATATCAATTCATATAATTATAGTTGCTTTATCTATCTTATACAATTTTCGCTTTGACAAAATTATGCAACATTGAGACAGAGAGAGACAGATAATATTCAATATTAATGTGTAATTTTTATTATGATTATTTTAATTTTTATATGTGTCTGTAGACATTTCCCGGCCGTGATTATACTTAGACAAGAAGATGGAAAGATGCATCAAAATTAGTATTGTGCTGTCATAGATTTTATTGAACAGATAAATGTAAGAGAGAGAGAGAGAGAGAGAGAGAGAGAGAGAGAGAGAGAGAGAGAGAGAGAGAGAGAGAGAGAGAGAGAGAGAGAAGGAATGTTATCGTCAGCATGTATATTATGAAGTAAGTGTAATATAGTTTACTATTTGTTTCAAATAAATCTTTCTTAACTGCAGGAAAAAATTAATTTGTAGTTCGTATCTTAAGTCGTCTCCTGGTGGTTATAAATGAAGCTTTGTATAATAGAGTAAAGTAAAATCAAACAATAAAAAGAGGGAGCAGCGCAAAGCTCTGAATGATGGTGAGATCAGGCCCTGAGACCATTAACTGAGAATAGACTTAAGTCAAAATTCTTATTTTTAATATCTTGAGTTTCACTTATTAATTTTGCTTAAAATTTTGCAATTTTGAATAACATTTAAATTCCAACATATTTTGAAAATTATGTTCCATTATCCAAATTATGTCAAAAGTTATACTGGATTGAAATTTTGACTTAAGTCTGTTCTCAGTTTATGGTCTTGGGGCCTGATCCCATGTTGTCTGTGTCCATGGTCATGCCCAGGAAAAAAAGAAGGTCTAATATATAATACGAAAAGTCAGATAACATTCAACTAAATCAGAAGCTGTAATTGTCATTGTGTCCATAATGAAATTTATGAAATGTTGAATACAAGCGGGACTGTTGATATCCATGTTTCATTAACTTAATTGTTAGTAACTTGCCTCGTTTTAGAAATTGTTTATAGGTAGAGCTTGCTCCTGCTTACGGTATCGAATTTTTTCTGCTAGCTGTGATAATTGTATAATTCTGAATATAAAAGGGAAGTTAACGATGAAACAGATAAAGGTAGTAAATTTATCACAAAGTCGTTTTGTTATGTTTCCAATAGTCCCCTTTTCTATGTTAATATGAAACAAACGTGTTGGACTTAGTGATATCATTATTTTCAAGTCACAGCATATACATGTGTATATACGAGGGTTAATCCAAAAGTAATGTCACAACTTGATAAAATTGCTATAAATCGAAGTAAAGCAACAAAATTTTATGTGATGGAAATTTTATTTATTTAAAATCAGACCTGTAATTTTCAAAAGAATATGTTGTATACTGTCCAAAATATCGCATTTTAAACAATGTGCGTTTATGTTAGTCGCCGCATATAAATGATGACCGTCAAGCAAAAACCACCCTTAAGTGAAAATTTTGACATTTTGAGTTGTTTAGTGATTATGATAGAAAATTTTGTCCTCTTTCAAATGATATATAATATCTAGTTGTTTAATGACTAAAAATTAGTGAATTTTTTTCAAATAAAAAATACAAATTCTTCGTCATGACTCCGTGTTTTATCGGAAAACGTCAATTTTTTTGTTCCCACATTTCCATGTTTTATTGTAAAAACTGCACAAGATAAATCACCTCGGACAACAAATGACATTACATAAGTGATTTTTGTTTATTACATTGTTATTGTCACTTTTTATGATCGATAATTTTAGCATTTTAGAAGAAATATCAGGTCCCCCCCCCTTAAAAAGAGACACGATATGTTTTGTTTCTTTTTTTACAATCATTTTTGTCAGTTTATCTTTTTTTAGGGGTGGAGGTTTATATGGTCTTTGTTCTTAAAATCGTAAAATCTCGACGGAAAACTCAAATTCAACTAATACTAGACACTTTTACCCCCCCCCCCCCCCAAAAAAAAAGAAAGGAATACACAGTTCAGATCAGGTTGATAGTTTGAATGCTCTTTTGTTTCAGAATTTTTTTTCTCGTCATTTTGTGATTGAACAAACATTTGAACAATTTCATGATCATGGTATGTCGAGTCAACAGATGAATGAAAGTAACTGTTGCGAATTGATGATACATGAACGTTGAGGATATCTAAATTTATAAGGCCACAGAGAATCTTTCCCGTGTCTCATGTATACGAATTTGAATAAATTTGGAATACGGAAATTATGTCTGTTAATAAGGGGCATTCTGTGCCTACTGCGACACGGGAACTCAGTTTATACGGTCTCATCAGAAGGACCGGTCTCCACGTCCCGCCGTGGGATTCGAACCCGCAACGAGAGAGAAAGTATATTATTTCACTCATAAATTAAATAAATACTTTCTGTCCTTGTGGGTTTTTCTCCAAATGAATTTATTCTTTTTTGGAGCAGTTTGCTCCTTTTGAGAGAGAGAGAGAAGAAAGAAGGAGAGAGAGAATTATACTACCGGTAATAGTATGTTCATGCACTAAGTATAACATACATGTACATGCACGCCACGTGGAGCGGAATTGAAAGCTCATAAGAATAGTCCAGTGCATAATGCACCTGTCGTAATTCTGTTGAGAGGGGTGCAGCGGGTTGTACAAACAGCCTTGAATATGGTGTTAATCCCATTGCATGTCTACTTCCTGCTGGTTTATCCCCCTCCCCCCCCCCCCCTCCCACACACACACACGAAATAGGATTTTCGAGTTTGGACATTTTTTTCTTGTCAACTTTTTTTCAGGTAAGTTAATTTTTTTCTCTGGCTGCCCCCCTTTCAAAAACGATGCTAGTTTCACGGTACAGTATTGTAATTGTGGTTTGATTGGTTGATTAAATGAACATTAAAATTAATAGCTTAATTATAGAGTTATTAGCCAAATGCTAAATATTTCATCAGTTTCAAGTTTTATTTGAATCACTGAATTTACTCAATTTAATTTCTATAACCTAATCAAAATATAAGTTGCTTATATCCACCCCAAACCATGTAGTACTCGGATACAACACAATTAAGAGATTAAATGATTTCATTTTCATGATAATTTCATATCTTTTCCTAAAACATGTAGGCTGCATTCGTCTTTGATTAACTGATCGGATTCATAATGTTGCCTTATTTTTCCAACAGATTAAAAAATTAAAAAAAAAGAAGGTTTTTTAACTCATTTTAACAAATATTTTATAGAATGAATAAGTAACAGTTCCTACTTTCCCCTCTAAATAGCAAAACATGCAAATAAGATATACACAGATCTACCGCAAAATCTTTGGAGGAAGTGGTAAATACTGAACGCTTCCTGTTGCCAGGTAACAATAAATAATTATAATGCAGGTTACTTAATCCCTTCGTTTTTAACATATGTAGATTATTTCACACACATAGGAAGCGATTCATTTTTTATGTCTTTTTTTTTGGGGGGGGGGGGATTCTTGACAAGCAATAGGAAACTAAAACAAAACGAACTTTTTCATTTGTTATAGTACATGTATATTTGTCCGGCCAAATTGTACTGAGGGCTTTGTTTTCCAACTTCAATTATATACTGATAAAATTTCTGTGACCCGCCTCCCCATTTCTTCAAGCTATTTTTTGATTTTTGGTACATAACGCTGTTTAGATTGTAATAAACTTACACACCTTTGTATGAAATCCAACGCCTTGGCTTCACACTTTGATTAGGTTTTCTCTGCTTTTTATCATAAATATAGAAAAATATCAATAAATAGTGACAAAAATAATGTTGAATAAGAGTAGATCTATGTCCATTTTGTTGCTGCCCTAGTCTAAAGATAATATGCGATTTCTCCCCCATATTTATGTTTTAGAAGTAAAAAGAAAATGTTCCCCGAAAATGAAAATAAAGGCGAAGATCGTGGTATTCGCTACTTCAAAGGATTTTCACCTTCAGTTTGCTGTAAATCATTATTTTTTTTTTCATACTAAACAGTGGCCTTTAGTAATTATACTTACGACTACTCATTATGTCACAGTTGTTTAGTACATGTATAAGCATTTACTGTATGAAGAAATATTATAATTAATGATGCGTCTTCACACTGCATTTATTTGCAAAATGCGGCGAACATTTATGACGTCAACTTTAGCGCTCGTTTTCTCGATAACGTCATAATGCACATAAGGGTGGTTTTCGCTTGACGGTCATCAAATATAACGTCATATGACGGATATGTACCGTCATACTTTTAAGCGTTTCCTCTTCGTTTCATCAAAAAATATTCTTGATTCGCAAACACTTTCACCAATTCAACTTTCTTAAAGAATTCTCAGTACCATGATACACTCACATTCTTCATAGTTAAGCCCTCTGTCAATTTCGTCATGAACAGTAGCATAAGACAAACTTAAAACTTCACATTTCACTCTATACGTCTTTGTTGACAACGTCAGGCATCACTGAACGTTTAAACCGTCTGATCTTCCATCTTTCGATTTTCTTGTCCTCTGCTGATCATTTAGTGAACATTCACCCGCCCAAAATTGCTGAAACCATTTATTAAGATGTTTTATTTACATTCTTTATTCTGTAAGTCTGACTAATTAACGTAACTATCGCTTGTGATTTCTATATTTAGAAGCAAAACTGCAGTACAACTTGTCGATTCGTTTTCCCCATTTCAAAAATCACTTTGTTTGATACAACAGAGTAAAACAACGATGTTTATGATCTAAGGTACGCATGCCGTCTTTTGATTTTCAATTAAAAACAAAAAATGACGAGAATTGTTTCTATTAAAAATAAGAAGATTAGGTGCTTTTTTAGAATCTTTTTAATTGGTTTGTTTTTTTTTTTTCATTCAAAGAAAAAAATATACTTTAAACGTGACGTTCCGTTGTGACTCGGCGACACCCCCTGTGCTCTATGTTTTAGTTATCTTTTAAATAAATTCAATTAAGCATTATTTAATTTAATTTTCAATGTTCATTATTAGATTTATAATTATGTATCTTTTGGTATATTGTATTTGATAATATGATGCTAAATATAAAAGATTTGGACACTGTGATATTACTTTTGGATCAACCCTATATCTTTATATGAAGGTTATTGAGATAACAAACATTATTACAGATCAAACTCCATAAAATGATATCAATTAGGAGCAGAGCAAACAGGGACCTCCGACACAACAGCACTCCCTGCTTACCTGTCACACCCGCCTTGTTATCCATGTCAGTATGGAGTAGTAACGGAAAAAATCCGTCGTCAATACAGTGTTTAAATAATTGAAAACAATTAGTATGAAAAACGTCAGTCGACATTTGACTCAATAATAAAGTGTATGTGCTGAAAAGGTCAATTTATCGGCCACAGAACCTAGGAAATGATGGCTTTGAACGAGACTGCAGATATTCTTGTTTCATCAACGTGTTTGTCAATTATTTACCTCATT